ACTGGATAGATATTTTCTGTATATCTTATATCAAAAATCAGAAGTATAACTATACAAATTCTACTTTGGCCCATGTTAGTATAAAAAAAAACTGGTGTCACTGTATAGTATACATTTTATTCTCTAACTTGTCCTGTTAGCTATTTACAAATTAAATAAATGCAGCACTAAAAATAACCAACAAAATAGGTGAAATAAAAAAAAAAAAGTTTAAATGTTAGTGGCTAAAAAAATAAATGTAGAAAAATAACCGCCATGAGGATAAGGGAAGAAGGAGTTAATTATGGATGAGTAGCATTCACTATGGGTTAATAAGTGGTGACATTGGAATTAAACTGCTAGGTCTGCTATTGCCTAATGTGGAAGTATGCACAGCATACCTGCACATTATGACACATTTACTTCCTCGCATGCCCACATGCAGCAATACAATGTCCACTATACGCCTCGTCTCACTATCACTGCATATGACATCTTGCCAGTATTCTTCTGAGTCTAGAGACTTCCATGTCTGCCATTGGGCAGACACTGATTATGTAACTCCTGTGTACGTGCATCATCTTTGGCACCCAGCTACATCTCCAGCATCTGCCAATCCCCCAGGTGGTGTATACAACAGAAAAAAAAACTACTAGAAGCAGTTTTCTGGCAGAAGGGACTGCATGTTTCTTCTTCCAAAAAACACTTTTTTTAAAATGTATCTTTTTACATTTATTTCCACTTTAAATAGGAATAAATTATATGAAACAAATGACTGGGAGGGTCACAGAACATACCATGTATGAGATACTTAGGTTATAAGAAGAAATTTAGAAATAAGGGAACCTATGTGTAAGGGGATGAGTGGGCACTACATGTACACTATTAAACCATTATATATATGAATGGCACTAATGATGTGATTATATTTGAAAGAGGTATGGGATAAGGCACAGTACATGTTTAGATTAAGTCACCAGACCTATAATTTCCGGTACCGGACTGCATATTCATTGCCTATTCCCCTCCTGCCAGGGAAGTAGGCAAAGGGTGAACTGGTTATAGTTAGCAATTTCAGTTTTAAATTATTTACATATTCTTAACAAGCAGCCAAAGTAACAGAAGCACTAAAGTTGCAGCTCGTCTCCCTCTCTGACAGCAGTGACCTGGCGGCCTGCCAGCCTTCTAATGTAAATAAACAAAGTACTGTAAACTGTTAGAAATATTCTGAAATCTGACTTCAGAGTCTCTGCCATGATTTCTGAGGATACATTACTCCACATTACCTGCAGCTACAGAGGTCAGTTAGGGTTTGTTTTCTTTTTTTTTTTACACCTTCTTAACAATAGGTGAATTTTTTTTAAGGTCAGTAGTAAGGACACAAGTGCACTTCAAATCAATATTCTGGTTTTCTTTAGACTGATGCCCTATTAGATGACTTCTGTACTTCAAAGAGCAATGGGAAAACTGCAGTAACCTATATCAACCAATCAAAATCCATCTTTTACTCATACAGCTTTGAGGACATTACATTGGAATCTATGGGCTACTGCCCTTTATGCATTACCCCAACTCTTGGCACTTTTTACTGAAAATCCCTGTGTATTACAGTGAGCCATCTGAGTCCACAAAAACTACATTCTTTTTAAGCCCTTGATTTGTAATTTTTTTTTGCTTTTAAAACACAAACATACCTACCACTAATACGATAGTCAATCATTCTGCTCTCCATGGCATTCATTTTGGTTTTGCCTAATGAGAAAGAAAAAATGAAATGAGTACATTCTAATCTCATAATCTCAACAGATTTAGAAAGCCACTAAACGTAAATTGCAGATGGCCTCTGGAAAAGAGGTTTTACCGATGTGCACGAATGAGTATGACGTTTCAGACAGTTATCAGAAAACATAATGGCAGTAGATGGATTTGTTTTTGAACACACAGGTGACCTCCTGACCAGTATTCTCATAAAGGAAGGTACTAACTATTATGTTATTAAAGCCTCCTACTGCACAATATGGCAGCTAACAGAGAGCCTGAGCAAAGTGACCTAAATGACACATAAAGTACTGTATATTAGTTTCTGTAGAGAAGTGGGTACTTTTTATAAATAGCTTGGAATGTTACTTATATTTAGTTTTATCGCTGTAGAAATCCTTTAAGGCAGGGCTGAACAGATCCTAGGAGACAGGTAGCCAATGCTGGCTAAAAATAACAGCTGGCACCAATCCTGTCCCCGCCTGAGGCGGGGTGGTTGATGGGGTGCTGGTGGTGCAATCTAATGGTGCTCTGGCCAACGTGCTGGAGGTGGACCGCCTAACTCTGGCCAGCATCCTGCCCAGCTCAGTGACGTCACTGGTTGCCAGGAGCTGGGCAGGACACCGGCCAGCGTACCCAAGGTTGCTAAGAGTCGGGAGGTGAGATGTGTCCCTAACACATCTCCCTGCCCGATTCCTAGCAACCTAGTATGCTCTGGCAGGAAAAGGGGGCAGCAGGCAGAGCCTGACCCAAAGAGGTGCTATTTGAGGCAACAGTTTCAGGCTGGCCCCAAACCTTTAAGGGGTTTCTCTAGTTGTTGACAATGGAGCTGGCTCCTAAAAAATTCCTGCTGGCTCCTGGATTTGACAGACTGGCTCCTGAATTCTACATGTATTTGTCCACCCGGCTTTAAAGTATAAGTATGCTTAAAGAGCCGACTTCCCAGAGGACATCTCTCTCTACTGGTATCCTTGTCACTTTTTATAAACCGATAAATAATGAACCTACCGATTTCCTAAAAAAGCTTTCCAATTGGGCTCACAGATTTTAGGGGCTACCCCCGCACTGCGAGGGTTAACTGCTTGTTTTGCTCTAGGCCTGAAAATAAAGAAGAAATACTCACCCGATCCTCAGTCCTGCAGCAGTGATGCTTACCTCTCTCACCCTCTACTCCAGCAGTGGTATGTCCTTCAGCACCTTCACGTCTAATACACTGTATTAGATATAATGATGTCACGGATCCTTAAACTGCTGGAGCCCGGGGGAAAGTCTAGCAGCCAGGCGGGACTAAGGATTGGGTCAGTATATGTTCTTTATTTTTGCTCCCTTTGACAACACAAGCAATTAACCTTTGCAGTGCGGGGGTAGCCCCACTGCAAGGATTAACTTTTCAAGATCCTGGAGTTCTTCTTTAAGGCCGCAGGGGCTTTCCAGTAGGCAGAAGAAAAACTGGAAACCAAGCTATCCCTCCCACACCATTCAGGTGAGTATTACTAGTTGTCAGAATTTTTCTAAATACTTGGGCAACTAGCTAGCTGTCAGATCCTGGCCGAGCGGCTCTCCCTCTCCTCACCGCTTGGCCATCCTGGATGACAGCTCCACGCTCCTAGGGGTTGCCCCCCCCCCCCCCCCGCCGCTGT